TCCAAGTTCTCCAGTGAAGTTCTGGTTCGGATCTCCAGCCAGGTTCTGTGTCCATGTTCTCTTGCTAGGTTCCCCAGCCAGGTTCTGTCCAGGTTCTCCAGCCAGGTTCAGTCACCAGGTTCTAGTCAGGTTCTCTTGCCCATTTCTGTAGTCAGGTTCAGTCCAGGATCTTTTGCCATGTTCTCTCCAGCGAAATTCTTCTGTCTCTAGTTCTGTGTAGGTTCTGTCTTCTTACATCTGTATTTATACCAGTTGATTCCAATCCTATCAATCTCTATTACAAAGGTTAGGGCATTTCTTATCTTCATTCCAGGGAGTAAAGATTATGTAGCTTAAGCATGATTGTTCATAGTTAAAGTGATTAATTACCCGCCTGGCACTTATTTAAGAGATTTTATTCCCTCCCTAACTTCAGGAGAAAATCCCTACCTGGGGAAACAACCTTTCTCAGAGACCTTGGTTAAAACACATAGTGCCAAGAAGGTGAGCAAACATTTTAAGAACAGTATGCCATATATGCCAGGTCCTTTGAAACAGCAAGCATGGACCGGCTCCTGGCAAATTCCCCCTTTTTTATTTTTTAAAAGCAGGCATTAAAAAGAAAAAAACCCAAATGCTCTCTTGTATCCATTTTAAGAGTAGGATTGGCGCTTTCCGCTATTACCTGAGTCCTGATCTATCACCCCAGGGAGAACTTGCCAATCCTGCACTTTCCCGGGGTGGAAAGGCTGCAGTCGGGTTAAGGATAAGGCTCCTTGGGCCTACCTTCTCCCATGCCTCTACATTTACCTTTCCGGCACCTTTCCTTCCTCAGAAAAGCATGGACATATTTCTTGTATAAAACGTTCTGTCTGACTGGGAGTAACCTTAATTCCTCTGCTAGCAAGCATATGTGTTAAAAGATCAATACAGAGTCTTATTTCTTTAGACTCAGTATGGCACATCTTCTTAATCTAAAGATCAATACAGAGTCTTCTTTCTTTGGACTCAGTATGGCACATCTTCTCAATCTAAGTTCTGTACTATCCACCTTCTTACCCTACTTATCCTCTATAGGGGGGTCTGTAGTACCCTGGTGGAGTCCTATCCATCCCGAGTGTAGGGTTCTCAATGGGGAGGGGGCTTACCTAGGGGAATCCTGTTCGGGCGCCAGATGCCGGGGTCCTGCCCCTGCAGGTCCAGGGGTCCCCAAAGGTGTGGACGGAGTCGGCGAAGAAGAGATGACATGGAGACAGCGTTCAGTTGATCAGCAGCCTCGCCAGGATCTCTAGCCAGGATCTCCAGCCAAGTTCTGGTCTGGATCTCCAGCCAAGTTCTGCTTCAGATCTCCAGCCAGGTTCTGTGTCCATGTTCTCTTGCTAGGTTCTCCAGCCAGGTTCAGTCCAGGTTCTCCAGCCAGATTCAGTCACCAGGTTCTAGTCAGGTTCTCTTGCCCATTTCTGTAGTCAGGTTCAGTGCAGGATCTTTTGCCATGTTCTCTCGCTAGGTTCTGTCTCTAGGTTCTGAGGCCAGTTTCTGTCCAGGAACTTTTGCCATGTTCTCTCCAGCAAAGTTCTTCTGTCTCTAGAGAACGTTCTGTGTAGGTTCTGTGCCTAGGTTCCGTCTCTCTTGGTTCCGTATTCTAAGTTCTGTGTTCTAAGTTCTGTGTTCTAAGTTCTGTGTCTTGCTGTCTTGTTGCATCTGTATTTATACCAGTTGATTCAATCCTATCAATCTCTATTCCAAAGGTTAGGGCGTTTCTTATCTCCATTCCAGGGAGTAAAGATTATGTAGCTTAAGCATGATTGTTCGTAGTTAAAGTGATTAATTACCCACCTGGCACTTAGTTAAGAGGTTTTATTCCCTCCCTAACTTCAGGGGAAAATCCCTACCTGAGGAAACAACCTTTCTCAGAGACCTTGGTTAAAACACATAGTGCCAAGAAGGTGAGCAAACATATTAAGAACAGTATGCCATATATGCCAGGTCCCTTGAAACAGCAAGCATGGACCGGCTCCCGGCAGTAACCCAATCAATATTTAATAACATGCTTTTCAGCTTCCAAGTGTTTGAGTATTTTGGGTTGTTTTTATTGTAGTTTATTTCTAATATTATGCCATCGTGGTCTGAGAAGATGCTTGGTATGATTTCAATCTTCTTGAATTTGGGGAGACTTTGTTTGTGACCCAATATGTTGTCTATTTTTGAATCTGTCCTATGAGCACTTGAGAAGAATGTATATTCCGTGGCTGTGGGATGAAGTGTTCTGAAGATGTCAATTAAGTCCATCTGATCTAGTGAGTCATTTAGGATTGCTGTTTCTTTGCTGATTGTTTGTCTAGAGGATTTATCCAGTGAAGACAGTGGTGTATTAAAGTCCCCTACTATGATTGTATTGTTGTCGATCTCTCCTTTGATATCTTCCAGAAGATTTTTTATGTATTTGGGTGCTCCTGCATTGGGTGCATATATGTTTATCAGGGTTATATCTTCTTGTTGTATTGATCCCTTTAGTATTATGAAGTGGCCTTCCGTATCTCTTGTTATGGCCTTCACTTTGAGGTCTATTTTGTCCTATATAAGTATTGCTACCCCAGCTTTCTTTTCTTTTCCATTAGCCTGAAAGATATTTTTCCATCCCTTCACTTTCAGTCTGTGTGAGTCCTTTCTAATGAGGTGGGTCTCTTGTAAACAGCAAATGTATGGGTCATGATTTTTTATCCATTCAGCCACTCGATATCTTTTGGTTGGAGCATTTAGCCCATTTACGTTTAAAGTTATTATTGAAAGGTACTTGTTTGTAGCCATTTCTTTTTGTGTGTGTGGCTGTGTTCTTTCTGGGATTTTTATTTCTTCTTTTTACACCAGTCCCTTTAGCATTTCTTGCATTGCTGGCTTGGTGGTGATAAACTCCCTTAGCCTTTTTTTGTCTGTGAAGCTTCTTATTTCCCCTTCAATTTTGAATGATAGCCTTGCTGGATAGAGTATTCTTGGATTCAGTCCTTTGCTTTGCATCACTTTGTAAATTTCCGTCCATTCTTTTCTGGCCTGATGTGTTTCTGTTGAGAAATCATTTGATAATCTAATGGGAGATCCCTTGTATGTAACTTTCCGTCTCTCTCTTGCAGCCTGTAAGATTCTCTCTTTGTCCTGAATATTTGCCATGGTAATTATGATGTGTCTTGGTGTGGGTCTTTTCGGGTTCACCTTGCTTGGGACTCTCTGGGCTTGTGTGACTTTTTTCTTCCCCACCTCAGGGAAGTTTTCTGATATTATTTCTTCCAATAGGTTTTCTAATCCTTGTTCCTCTTTCTGTTGTTCTGGCACCCCTATTATTCGTATGTTGTTTCGTTTCATGTTGTCCCAAAGCTCCCTTAGGCTCTCCTCCTGTCTTTTAATTTTTTTCTCCAACTGAAGTACAGTTTGGGTGTGTTTTGCTTCCCTGTCTTCTAATTCACTAATTCGGTCTTCCGCTTCTCCTAGTCTACTGTTGATACTTTCAATGGTGTTCTTTTTATATAAATTTTCAAATCAAGGGCATTGCAGTTCTTTGAAAAATATTTTTTTCCACTTTTATGGAGATCTTTCTCTCTCTCTCTCTCTCTCTCTCTCTCTCTCTCTCTCTCTCTCTCTCTCTCCCTCTCTCTCTGAAGGCAATGTGGTTTCTTCAAAACCATAAGAGCTAAGAGTCAGAGGATTGTAATTATAGACCTCAGTGCTACACTAGCCAGTCACATATCAAAAGGCAAAGAACTTAGGCAATCTTTTTAATTTGTTTCATTGCTTTTGTAATTGGGGGAGCAATATCTGTCCTGTTTCCTCTCTCTCTCTCTGAAGGCAATGTGGTTTCTTCAAAACCGTAAGAGCTAAGAGTCAGAGGATTGTAATTATAGACCTCAGTGCTACACTAGCCAGTCACATATCAAAAGGCAAAGAACTTAGGCAATCTTTTTAATTTGTTTCATTGCTTTTGAAATTGGGGGAGCAATATCTGTCCTGTTTCCTATACTTTAAAAATTCAACTGTCGAGATACAAAAGTTCTTTGAAGAGATAATTAGGATACACAAAGATAATATGTGCTTTTATGGGAGGTTGTGGGGGATTAGTTCATATAATATCAGTATTTACTGGATTTCATTGCATGCTTCCCTGTACAGCATTGTTTACAATCTAATATGTGGTTATTCGTTGCAGTTATATATGTGCTTAGTTATTAGAATATGTGTGCTTATTCTACTCTGCCCCACGGATTGAAAATATCATTATAACAGAGGACATGTCTTTATTGTACAGAGTCCTATCCCCAGCATCTGTGCATTGATGAGCATAGTAGATGCTCAGTAAATAGTTGAATGAATGGAAGTATACCTCCTAAATGCACTGTGCATTGGTAGTATACACAATACATTTGTATTTATTTCTTGAAACTATTAGAATCAATGTTGTTTTGAGGTTTGTTTTGGAGAGAATTTTGGAATTCAGATATGCTACAAAATCAAATTTGGAGGTCATGTCTATGAATATTAACAAATTAATGACTCCCTTAATAATCATTTCTCTTCTGACTTGAAACTCAAATATCTTATATAGAGGGGGGAAGTTTGATAGTATTCAGTGCTGTATTGATAACTTAAATGATATTCCTCTTCTTTTGTCTTCTCTTAGAGTGTCGTCTGGGTTATGTAATAATATGATACTGTTTGAGAGAATGAGATTTCATACTCAGATAAATCTAGGTTCAAGTTCCAACTATGCCACTTCCTAGTTGCAAGACTTAATGTGAGCTGTTAATTTCTCTGAGCCTGTGATTCCTCTTGGGGGCCTAATTATGCTTCCCTCATGAGTTTGTTGTGGGAATTAAATGTGCTAATATACTTGAGGTGCTTAGCATGGTACCTAACATATAATAACGCCCTCTAACTATAGCTATTGTCATTTACATAATTCATCTACTAACCTTATTCTGTCTGTCTGTTTTTCATTTTGTGCGTCTGTGTGTGTGTGTATGTTTTCTGTACAGATGGATATACCACTGACGACATTGAGTTTTACTGGCGTGGGGAAGATAAAGCAGTAACGGGAGTGACAAAGATTGAACTTCCACAGTTCTCTATTGTAGACTACAAACTCATCACCAAGAAGGTTGTTTTCTCCACAGGTTTGTATCAGGGAAGAGGGCTAAGGTAAAAGAGTCATCATCGTTTATAAACAGGGGTCACTTATATCAGGATCGGGTCCCAGAGAAGGATGGTGACTCTAGAAGACAGATCTGCTGAAAACCCTCAGGTCCCCAGCAAGCCCATTGCTCATTTGCAGCCCATCTGGTTTTTTTCCTGAAGGCACCCCCAGCAATGCTGAGAGACTTAGTGCTGTCTCTCTCATTGGCCAACGAAGGGACTAATTGTTGTACACAGAATAGAGCAAGGAATGAAGACCTGGGTCAGTTGTTCCCCTGATTTTATGTATCTCACAGAATTGATCATCATTCTTTCAAATACACTGGGAATAACCAAGTCACAGTTCACTCAAGTCTGACCACAGCGAAATTCTCTGAATAGAATAGGGTAGGAGAATTTCACATTTCCCTCGGAGGACGGGAATTGCTTTATGTAGTGCGACTCCCTGTTTTGCAGGTAAACACCTTTCCAGATCCTGAGGTTATCCTGATGCCTTTGCTGCCCTTACCCTACTAGTATTGAGGTTTCAGGTTGTCAAACTTGGTTTCATCAGCACAAATTTTTAACCAGAAAGCCCAGTAAAGTGGTAATTTGCTACATCACTCATTAAGGGGGAAAATAATCAGCCCACAGGAATATGTTTCATTGAAGTGAATCCCGCACATGAAAATAGCTAGCCCTATAACTGTAAATTTTAAGTTTCCCCTCTGATTTGGGTACTTCCTGTCCCTAAAAACAACTTCAGGCAAGAGTTGCATGACTTAGTAAGAATACAGTGTAGGCTTTGGCTTTAAAAAAAAAAAGATCAATAATAACAGAAACTTTTCGTAAGTATGAAGTCTTTTGAATTGCTGAAACTCTATAGAAATGAGTTCCTACTTAAAATACTCTTACTTTCATATTAAGACACTATTTATCAGTGTGAACTATTTATGTTCTAAGGCTGTGCTCTGTTACATATATTGTCTAAAGTATAAATCCCAGATCACCACAATCAAAGGATCCCGCTTCAGGAATGTGATGCTTTAGCTGTATCTCCCACAGATATTTCTCAGGAATAGTGATTCTCCACCTTTGAGTAGGTCAGGGATCCCTTTATGAACGGGGTGGGGAATCTTTATTTCTGCCAAGGGCCATTTGGATATTTATGACAGCATTCGCGGGCCATACAAAATTATCAACTTAAAAATTAGCCTGCTCTATTTGGTCAAACATTTAATTAACTCGCCACTAATGCCTTGGCAGGGCTAGACCAAATGATTTTGTGGGCCTTATGTTGCCCATGGGCCAGACGTTCCCCACCCCTGCTTTAGAACTTGGATGAATACACTGATTTTAGAAAAAAAATAATAATGCCTACACTTGAAACCCATCCTGAAATTTCAGGGAGTTGCTGCATTGTCTGAAGTACAGCCATTGATCCGGACTTAAAACAACCCTGGGGCTTTGTGTGTGTAGAGCTAGCTATCTTTTACTAGCATCAGAGTGTGCAACCTGATTCTTATATGCAAAACATACCTTAACGGGTGGACTAGCTAAGAAACAATTGAGGGGGGACAAAGGGACTGTCCCAAATTGTCTTGTCATCACAGTTTTAGATAATGAGTATTTTTTGATCCAGTACATGAGGCCGAGCAGAGAAAACCGGGAATTCTGTTAATGATGAGAATGGGATGTAGTCAACATGGAGTAACTCCTGTTAATTAAAAACCTAGTGTTCTCAGACATCTTTTGCAGAAGAAAGTGTTTACTCTTCACCAGAAGCTAAACTTGAATTTAGGAAAATACACAGACTGTTTAGGGGGCTTTAAAGGAAAGTATCCTACAAGTATTGATTGGTAATGATGATCTAAAATTGCCTTTCTAGGTTCCTATCCCAGGTTGTCCCTCAGTTTTAAGTTGAAGAGAAACATTGGATACTTTATCCTGCAAACGTATATGCCTTCCATCCTGATCACTATCCTCTCTTGGGTCTCCTTCTGGATTAATTACGATGCTTCAGCTGCAAGAGTGGCATTAGGTAGGCCATTTTCTGTTTGCTTGCAAAGTTGACTCATGCATGTGTGCGTGTGTGTGTGAGTGTGTGCATGCATGTGTGTCCAAACATGCACTTTCCTTCCCTGGAATTTGTAACACATGATGAAACCAGACTGCACACATTACAAGGATTTGACTCTGAGACTTTGGGTGATCTGATTCAGCGTTAAATCAATTAAACACATATTAGAGCTCTTTCATGTCAGAATTAGTTAACTAGATAGCTGTTGGTAATGTAATTAGTCCCATCTGTGTGATATTTTTATTGAAGCATAATTCCTGTAATATCGCTTGATAATTATTAAATTTCTATCTGCGCTTCTTTACCTGGGAAGATGTCCCTCCCATCTTTTTGTTGTTCTGAGCAAAAAAAAACAAAAAACAGGAAATGTAGTGTGTAAAAAGTAGCTAAGCAGAAAGAAGTCTAAAGTCTTATGAATATTTTGGACTGGCATGGCAGGGGACAGGAGAAAACCAAGCAAAAATTTTGGGAAATAATCTATGGCATCAGATATCTAATGCTTAATTTTTCTTTTGTTATAAGACCAAAGAAAGAGAATAAATTCTATTTCATGGACATTTTTATGATGCTAACTCCAGATATGGTAAATTTATGACCTTTTACACGATCTTTATTACTTTGAATTCTGACTATTTCCTTTCAATTTTGAAATGTTAACTCCTCCACCATGAGATCTCAATGCAACTGTTACTTCCTTGGAGAAGTCATTTATTTATTCATTCAACGAGTACTTGTTGAATGCCTACGATGTGCCCTGCCAGATACTCTCAGCACTGGAGATGAATCTGTGCCCTTCTAGAAGTTATGTTCCAGCAGTAAAAGATAGACAATAAATTGAATAGCCATGCAAATTATATAATATGGTCAGTCTATTGAGGGAAGTAAGCAAGCGGGAGGTTAGTTATGCCAGGGGGTACAGTTTAGAATAATCAGGGTAGAATTTACTCAGAAATTGTCAATGGAACAGACTTGAAGAGGATGAAAAGCCACAGTTACCTGGATAGGAATATTCCAGTCCGTGAGCACGTCAATGAAGTGGCAGTGAGGCAAATGCAGAGAGAGTTCAGGAGCTAGGATAGTGTGTGTGCGGGGGGACGGAAAGATTATGAAGTGGTTTGGGGGCCATAATAAAGGCTTCACTTTTATGCTGAGCAACAGAGTTATTGAGCAAAGAAGTAACATGATTTGATTTCAGTTTTGAAGGAATCACATTGGCTGCTGTGTTGAGCTTAGATTGTGGTAGTTCAAGGAAGGAAGGGAGAAGTAATGACCTCCTGTTCTGAGTCCAATCCCTGTGCCTTAACCTCTTAAAGTGCTAGCTAGAGAGCTCCCCTCTGTAGGCCAGCCACTGTTACGCATTCTTTTGGTTTCTGATGTCATTTTCCTCCTGGTACTGGAAGATCCTTTGGAGAAAGGTCAATATCTAATTTTGCTTCCATTACATCTATAGTGTCTCTCATAGAAAATGATGTTCAGTAAATATTTGCTGAATAAAGGAATGAATGAAATTTGTAAATATCTTATTTCAAAGTGAATATTTGTTATCTATTTTATGTCTATTACATGAATAATAAGTAATATATTTACTTCTTTATATAAATTTTATTTTATTTTTTCCATCCCCATTTATCCCTTCTATACCCTCTTCCACCCCCGCCCCCTGCAATCACCACACTGTTGTCCATATTCATGAGTTCTCTCTCTCTCTCTCTTTCTCTCTCTCTCTCTCTCTCCTCTTTTTCCCCCAATTCATCCATCTCCCTATGTGAACAATTTATTACTAGGTCAGAAATGCCTTAAAATGAGATTTAGATAAATAGTAAAATCAGCGTTGTCAGTTTTATGATATACATGCCATACAGGATAATCTGTGGTTGACATAAAGAAGAGAAAAATGAAATTGGGAAATGTTTCAAAAAGATTCATATTGTAATAAAAAAGAAACATCTGAGAACTGTAAGACACTTAGCTCTAAAGCAAGGCCAGGGTTTTTCTGGTCATGCTCAGAATCAGATGCTCAAATTTATTTTTTCTGCTGAGCCAGTGTTGCCCAGTAGTTGAGCATCGACTCATGCACCAAAATGTCACTGGGTCAAATCCTGGTCAGGCCAGAGGCCTGGGTGGTGGGCTTGATCCCCATTGAAGGACATGCAGGAGGCAGTTGATAGATGTTTCTCTCTCATTGACGTTTCTATCTCTCCCTCTCCCTCCCTCTCCCTTCTTCTCTGTCTAAAATCAATTAAAAAAACACACATATCTATTAAAAAATTATTTTTTCTATATTTGTTTTAGGAGCATGTATACAAACAAGACAAAAATTATGATCTTATTAGAGAGAGAAAATTAAATCAGGAAACTTATGTTCCAAAAAAAATCACAGAAATGAAACGTAACTTCTGGGATGTGTTATTGGGTAGTGTTTAAGGACAGGTTTCTGAGTTGGAGAGTTCCCAGTTCATATGTAGACTGCCTAACCTTCCACCTGCGGGATCTTGACTCTGAGCTCTGCCTATTTTCACAAGGAACTTATCCTACCAGGGACTCTGGACCCCCGTGCTTTTTCCTGCATAGCAATGTCTATCCCTCCAATCATACCTTTGAGGGAAACTACTTCCCCAGTTAGAGGTGCTTACATAGCTGGATGAATAATTATAATTATAAATGCCATTGCTTAGTGTGGCATTTTCCATAAGGAATCTTGCAATACTTCTGTATAATTTATCTGTGTATTACATGCCTCGGTGCCCAATTTAGAAACATGAAGTTTAGGTTTCAACTTCTCTATTATCCTCCATCTGCAGTTTCCACATTTTTACAATCATTTGTCCATATCATCTATAAAATGCATTGATTGATTTTTGTACTGTTGTAATTATTTTATTTCCCCTTCCTAACAAATTATTCGGGGGTGGGGGGGACACTTTAAGGAGTATTCTTTATTCCTGTCTTGTATGCTTCTCTATCATAAACACAATTTGTCCTTATATCTCCCTGCTCCAAGCTGGCCAGTGGCCCCACATTGCCTATAATTTCAAGTTCAAACTCCTCATTAGGCTGTGTATATATGGCCCTCCATGATGTAGCTCTTACTTAACCTTCAGTCTCCTTACCATTCTCCCCACCATATCCTCACGTACTCACGTTGACTTTTTGGGAGTCTTTCAGTGAGCTGTATACCTTCACCCCACACAGAAAGCTCTCTCCACCACCAATGCCCTGACGTCAGTCCTGGGTTGTCTGGGTCACTCCCACTCACTCTTCAAAAAGGAACTCCAAAACGTGTGTTTCCTCTATATTCTCAACATACAGCCTACAGGTATCTAACACAGCAACATTTAAATCACTTTTCAACCCCCTCCCATTAGGTATATAACTGTAATATATAAATATAACTAAAGAAGGATTCTAAATAAGTAATGTTTATTACAAATAGATAATTTGTGCATATCTCCAGGGCCTGTCACAGAGCTGGACTATAATAAGTGCCCAGTAAATATTTTGTGGCATATAGGAATGACTAAAAGAGTACAGTAATCTTTCCAGCTGCAATGAGAGCAGCAAGGACACAGGAGCATCATTATTCTAACTCTCTTTTTCTTTTTCCAGGAATTACAACTGTCCTTACAATGACCACCATCAACACTCACCTCCGGGAAACTCTCCCTAAAATCCCCTACGTGAAGGCCATTGACATGTACCTGATGGGGTGCTTTGTCTTTGTTTTTATGGCCCTTCTGGAATATGCTTTGGTCAACTACATCTTCTTTGGGAGGGGACCCCAACGCCAAAAGAAAGCAGCCGAGAAGGCGAGCGCCAACAGTGATAAGATGCGCCTGGATGTCAACAAGGTAAATGCAGGGGCAGGCCTTCCTTGCTTCTTAAACTCATAGAAGAATGCCAGCAATATAGGTCAAAGGTCTTGTTTAACAAATGAGGAAACCATGGCCCAGGGAAGAGAACGGGTAATTTTCCACAAATCATGAAGATAATTAGCGATGCCCAAATCTGTGGCACAACAGTTAGATGCCCTTTACCTTAACACTAGGGTTGCCCAGACCACAGTCACCTGAAAACCACCTTGGTGACTTTTTCAATCTATGAGTATGATGTGTGCTATTATTTACTTTATAGTTCTTGAATTTTACTCACATTATTTTAATTTATTTAAAAAGGAAATTCCGTATCACACAAATCAGTATTACTTGCTAAAAGATAAGCTTAGGTATAAATAAAAATTTTAATGATGTTATTAAATACTAGGTTATACTAGATGAAGGCTCTTGGATTTAGAAGGGAGATAAGCAAGTACAGAGATGTATTTAAGACTTACCAGCAGCAAACTGAGACTTTCTCTTTGAAGTCATCAGAAGGAGGGGGGAAGGGGAGGGGAGAAAAGAATCGTTTTCTCCTTAAGTGACAGATAATTACTGAATGCCTTGCACATGTGCCACTTAAAATCACTGAAGCATTTGACTACAGAAGGCCACTATCCTGCTTAAATCGGGCATAGGCAAAGAATAATTCCCAGTTATAAACTGGTTCATTCTTTAAGGCAGTAATTCTCAGCCTTCAGCACCTGGTTGAATGACTGGGAGAGCAGTAAAAATACTGAAGGCTGGGTGTCTTCCCCAGATATTCTGATTTTATTGCCCTGGGGTATGCCTGGGCATCGTAGTTCAGAGTGCTGGAACTAGGAAGACAGTAATCCTTCTAAACCTCTGGAACTGTTAACCATACCACTGATTATATAATTGATGTTTTAATATTTCGAACATCAATTTAATTCCAAGGATAGAAGACCATAAATAACATCTATCATTGAGTTTTATTTGGAGCAAATCCAGTGAAAGCTGCTGGCTCACTAATGTCTCCACGTATCCATAGGTCTGATAATTGATGGGCTATTCTCTAACCAAAGGCACTCCTTTCCTGGGAGATGTTATTTGTAAGGATGCAAATCTTATGTACGGCCCTTGAAAGCCAAGGAACCAAGGCCTGGGAAATTTTCAGTTTCTTTCTAGTGTCTGAGGCAGTGGTTCTCAACCTTCTGGCCCTTTAAATACAGTTCCTTATGTTGTGACCCACAACCATAAAATTATTTTCGTTGCTACTTCATAACTAATTTTGCTACTGTTATAAATCATAATGTAAATATCTGATATACAGGACGGTCCTAGGCGACCCCTGTGAAAGGGTTGTTCGACCCCCAAAGTGGTCGCGACCCACAGGTTGAGAACCACTGGTCTGAGGTTTCGGTTATTGAAAACTGTCCATAGATTCCAATGTAGCATTGAGGCTCTCAGGCTGTGCTCTTTGAACCCATTTTATGATTGCCCTGATACAGAGGCCTTAATAAAGGAAAGAAAATGAATAAATAAATAAATAAATAAATAAAAGCTGTCTCATATTCCTTCCTTTTGAAATGAGTCTAAATCAATTACCTAATGCAAAGCTGACTTAATACCATCTGATCCTTTTTTTCACTTTCATCTCTCCAATTTTTTTACACCAATTTGCATTTAAATGACAAATTTAAGACCTAGAGAGTGGCATGTTGACAGCAAACTGATGGTTTTAAATTCAGGGTACTGAGGTGGAGGTGCCCTTGTGGTGGTGAAAAAGCTGGTTGTCTTGGCTGACGGTGGACCCACAATTCAGAATATAGAATACGAGAGAACAACAGACATACCTACACTTCTTCTAGGGCAGTGACCAAAACGCAGGCAGCCATGCCCCAGGGATCTCTGGGCATGCAGACATTATGGGTTGTCAAAACAGGGGGGAGGGGGTTGCTTCTGGTACTTAGTGAGTAGATACAGGCCAGGGATGCTGCTGAACAGCGATGGTGCATCATGCAGCTTCCCCATAACAAAGAATCATCCCTCCCCGAATGTCAATGTCACCCAGCTAAAGACCCCTGCTCTAGTCCAATTCTCTGACTTTAAGTAATGAGAAACTGAGGCCCAGAAACAATGTTTGTCCTCGTCTTAAACTCTCTAAGACAGGTGGTTTCTCCACTTTCTTTGATCACCAAGCATAGCATTGGAACAGCAGGAGTTACCATTTAGCACAATGTTAGTGAAGAACTATTTTGAGGTCAGTCAAGTGCAAGACTTACTCTCCGTTGAATAGTTGTGTGACAATAGGCAAAAGAAAATGAGTCTCGCTAACCTTCAGTTGCCCCACCTGTAAAGCAAGGTTAATTCCTCTTTCATAGTTTTTTATGAAGAGTGTTTGTGATTCTGTTTAGAGGGTGTAACATAGTCCTCAGTACATGGTATGCACTCAGTAAGTGGAAAATATTAGTAAAATATTAAAATGTTATACACAGTAGACATTATCCATCTAGACCTGCTGGCAAAGCTTGCTTGTGTATTTTACACAAATAGCTTATAGCAGTGGTCGGCAAACTGCGGCTCGCGAGCCACATGCGGCTCTTTGGCCCCTTGAGTGTGGCCATGAAGTTTCAATCGCACTGTACGTGCGCGCCCGCACGTTGTATTTTGTGGAAGAGCCACACTCAAGTTTGGCTTGACCCCTGGCTTATAGGATGCAGTCCCATCCCTAAAAGAGGGAATTGTCTGCGTAGAAATGTTTCAGGTCAGAAGTAAAATCAAAGCAGGGAAATCATGTATCATCAACAGGTATTAGTTTTAAAATCCATAGCATATGAACTACTTCAAATGGTATCAGTCATTTCTGAGGTCAGAATATTCACAGCTCCTTGATTAGATTAAGACAAAAAGGTGACCAGCTAGCCTTTCAGATGCCCCTGGTTTCCTTTTGACCCCAGCATGAAAGGTTAGGGGAGACCCACATGGGGCTCTGACTGCACAGAGCTTTCTTTGTGCGAGTGTCATGATAGTGCCACCCTATTTTTTTTAATCAATAATGTCCCTTTTTTCCAACTGTAATTCTTAAGTTATTTTTTTGTTGTACAAAGATTGGGCACATCTAATCAGCTAAGTGTTGTTGGCTGCTTTGGAAAAATCAGCCAGTAGGGAGGGAATTGACTTTTTCATGTTCCTTTTGATGGTTTCCTAGAGATGGGAGCTGCAAGTCAGGTCATCCAAAGTGAGGTTGATGCTGTGCTGTCTGTGCTGAGGTCAGGGAGGAGTGGAAGTGGAAGCCTGGCCACGCAGGCGCCAACGTTGCTTCCACGGCACGCTTTCACATTTGTCCATCTCTTCTCTCTATTAACTTCCTGTAAGTCATTATTTTGTTAGCAAGAGTACCTGTAGGTCTTAGTACAGTTCTTATCCTGTCATTTAATGCAGAAACTAAAACTTTTCAGGAAAGTCAAGTTTTCAAGGTTGAACAGCAAAGTTAACAAAATTTCTGAGGCTTGAGCTGGGTTTTCCAGGCCTTATCCAGAGTGTGACCCGCTGTGCTAACAAGTGAAAAAATAATACCAAACTGAAAAGCTGATTCCACATTAGATTATATATTCATTTCACCTAAAAAACCCACCTGTCTACATGAGAGTCCATGACTGACAAGCAATGTCACTTTCCAGTTGTCTTCAATGTGACAGATTAAGTTACAAAATCCTAAGATTTTTAAAATAAACCTCAAACCAACAAGAGGTCTACTTAACATTTCCTTTTCCCAAGTGTCTTCTAGAGATGTTAAAAAAAAAAAAAGAGTCTCTGTCCTAATGTTAGAAGAGTCCTTCCAATTATCCCTTGCATTCTTCTATTTGTGTGTGTGTGTGTGTGTGTGTGTGTGTGTGTGTGTGTCCTTATAGAATTTGCTTTGGATTAATGTTATGTACTTTTCTTGCTTATCTCTTCAAGTTTTCAGCTCTCTTTTTGCATTTAAGCTTTATGTTGTTTTCTTGTTTATTTGCTCATAACTGAATATATACATTTTTGAGAATTTAGTTACTCCTGCCTTTCCACCACGTTGATTCTTGCATACCTGAAATTATTTTTGAGAGATCCATAGCCACCAGTTTTCCAAGTAAAGCTGCACCAAAAATACCTCTGTGTGGGGGCATTCTTCATTCTGCATTTTCTACATTTATGGGTATTATGTCTATATTGTCTTTATCCATTGTGCCTAAGTTTGTGTTATACAAAGCCACGGAGATCTTTTAAATCTATTTATTTCTTGTGCTTGGAATTGTTTTTTTTAATACATTAAAAAGATACAAGTAAATAGAAGTCCTATTCTCTGTGATTGTCAGTCTTTCTAAAGACCAGTGGCATTTATCTATATGTAGTTTACTTTAACCACCAATCTTCATCTAGTGGCATCAGTCAATTTAATTAGCACATTCTCTACTTTGTCTTCCAGATTTTTTATAAAGATATTAAACAAAATGGGACCCAATATCGATCCTTGTGGGACCCAACTGGAAGCTTCTCCCCAACTAGACGGACTACCAATTACGATTTCTCTCTATATACGGTTAGCTAGCCAGTTTTTAATCCATTTATTTGTATTTCTGTTGGGGACAATTTGTTGAGCTGTTCCCTTTAAAACAATGTATGCGTTCTTTGCAGATAACCTATGGACTTGTACCCACAGAGATGTGGGAATACAATACGTTAAATGTTTTTGTGAGACCATAATGGGGGTTTCCCAGGTTTGCTTTTGTAAAATGCAGCGACGATGAATCTAAGCTTCAGTGTTCCACTCAGTCGAGATTGTTGTGCTAGAGAAAGAAACCAAGTGAATCATCTCTTGAGATTCCTGTTCATTTGTACTGAGCGGGTAGAGTGTCATCCCGTACCTGCCATTCCTCAGCGCTCTTGTGTGTCTGTGGGCTAGTGGGATAGGTGAAGAAGAATTGTGCATTTCTCCTGTTGGTTGGCTCAGAACTGAGGAACTTGTTTTTGTCCTAGATTATGAATTTGTGCCGAGGAATGTTATGTTTGCATCAAGTCCTTGTTGGCTTCGTTGTTACTTATTTTACAAATAAGTATTATCTTGGCATACCCAGCACTATCTTATTGATAGAAAGGAGGCAGTGATGACATTGTTCTGCATCAAAACTCTTGAATGAAATTTTCAAAAAAAAAGCCAGTAGTAAGGCTACTACTTAGAGTTTAGTTTCTGAGTTTCCGTGCTTGCAGTTCTTAATTGGCAAATTGTCATTCATATTGACCTCCATATTGGAGGAGGAGGAAGACGAGGAGCAGGAAGAGGAGAAGGAAGAAAAGGATGGTGATGATGATGATGATGATGATGATGATGATGATGATTGTCACCATTTTACCTTATCACACACTACTTGTCCGACTCCAGTTTTTTTTAATTTCTATTTCTTGGTGAGGTAGTGAATGATATTAAATGCTTGTGAATCTTTCTTATGAGGACTTGATGCCAGATGAGCTGTCATTTTTGTATCTTCTGAGTATCATGTTCTTCCTTAATTTTATTGCCCTGACCTCAAATTCCTCATTACCCATTATTATTGCGCTTGGGGTGGAGAACAAGGATGGTTAACCTATTAAATAACGACTTTAAGCTGTTTTTTACCTTGGTTACTTGTTGTATTACATATAGTAACAGAGTATGATAAACTAGATTCCAGGAGATGTTTGAAACTCTTTTCATCACTATTTTAGTCCTAATCCCCTAAAGATCCAGTCCCTACTATGTCTGTTCTCTCAGGCTCTCTCGTTTGTGTTGTTCTTGTTTTGAATTCTAGCTACTGTTTTTGAAATTGAAGTAGACTGATTTGATTGGGCTGTATTCCGGGTAGAATGTTAATGATTTAGAAAATGTTCTACAGCTGGAGTTTAGGTTTATGATGAAAACAGTTGTATTTTTTCAAAATCAAAATCAAAGTATACTACATGATTGGTCTAATGACTGGGTAAAGTTACATGAGGATATTTTAAAGAAAATGTGTCTCTTTGGTGCATTAAGTTGTTCAGTTGATAGCTTGAAAGAGTTAATGATACCCTGATGACATGTTAAAGAGAATGCTCAATTATTTACATTGAAATATGAATCTTAATGTCTTCTGCTTTTTTAAATATTTATTGTTGAAAGTATTAAACATGTCTCCTTTTTTCCCATTGACCCCTTCTAGCCTGACACTCCTCAACCACCCCACCCTAGGCCTTCACCACCCTATTGTCTGTGTCCATGGGTTATGCATATATGCATGCAAGTTGTTTGGTTGATCTCTTCCCACCCAGCCCTGCCTTCCCTCTGAGATACTCTCCTTTGTTTGGTATGTCTATTCTATCACCTGAGTCCTCTTTCGGGTTCATATGTGAACTGTGAAACAAGGACCAGTATTCAAAACTTTGAATAACGAGCTGTTAAACCTGTAACTTGTAAAAGCATCAAGATATATGGCACAATCCTCAGAGGCAGCAGGATGTACTGGGAAGCTGATGCCTTTTCGAATCATACTCAACTGGGCTCACATTCAGGCATGGTCTTTCATGAGCCATGTGCCATTAGATGTGTTTAACCTTTCCATCCCTCAAGTTCCTCAACTGAAAACTGAAACACTAATTTCTGCCCCATTGAGCTACTGTGAGCATTAAATTAGATAGTTAAGGGCCTTATATGGTGCCAGGCAAAGAGCACTCGATAGTTGCTATATTCTGAAGGTGATAGCAGGGAGTCTGTGTTTCTCAAGGAGTTCCTTTGTTGCTCTATTACTATTACTATTTTTCTGACTATAAAACTAACTCAGGATCATTATTTTTTATAAAAAGTGCAAAAGGCAATGTAAACCACCTAAACCCCCACACCTAGATATAATCATTGTCAACATTGCCTTTTATTCACAACTAGTGATGTGTTTATATACATAATTTTATTCTACTATTGTGTATACTGCTGTTTTCCACTTAACCTCTTTGTATACTTACAGTATACATCATTTCTAATAGCTACAAGACATTTTATTGAATTTATGTACCATAATTTATGGAATGAGTACCTGTTGTTAGATATTTGCATTGTTTCTAAGTGTTTTTCTCTTATAAATAAGTCTAAAATAAGCATCCCTTTCCTGATTTGTTTGTACATGACTGACTCCTAATCTATTTCTTAACATGGAATTTCTGGGTCAAAAAGTGTCTTTCAAACAGTGATCCACATTGCCAAATTGTTCCCCAGAAAATTTCTGCTATAGTGTACATACCTATTAGCACCATATGAGAGCATGGCAGTACACGCACACACACACACACACACACACACACACACACACACACACACAACCCAGCCCTTAAAATGACAAATAGAAAACTGATGTCTGTGTCCAGTTGTCAAAAGTCTTAGAGAAGTGGAGATAATGTATCTAAAAAACCCATGTGCACTTTTTCTCCTCCCTGTCCAAGGCCATAGAGTAAAACAGCAATAGAACAAAACAACACTCAACTCAAACTGAGGCTCTGCAGAGAGGCAGGGATGCATAAGCAGAGCCACCATTGCTGCAAGCAGAATCCAAAGAAATCTACTCAAGCTGTAGTTGAGCAAATGGGAGACCTTATAAGAAGGTCCACATCAAAATGAAGCATCTAAACAAGGAAACAACATGGCAACCATTCAGGAAAACGGCCAATGAGTCCATTTCCTTTTTCTCTCTCTCCCTCTTTCTCTCTCTCTTTCCCTTCCTTCCTCCTTCTCCTCTCCCTCCCCCACACCCCAACACACATACATGAGCAACAGAGTGAAACTCAGCATGCAAAAGACAGATAATGACTCTTTTATTGGGGGGAAAATTACTTTTTGATAAATTAAATGTTTTCATAATAAATGTGTTTTTTTTTATTTTTACCAAAAATTGAAAGAGAATATAAAACAAAAGATTAAGGATGAGATGATAAACAAAAGGTAATTAAGGAGGCAAAATGAAATCAAAACAGTCTTCATAGAAACTAATAACTAAATCTAAAATAGTAAGAAAGAGAATCAGTATGGCAAACATCAAGGCGTTAACACAAAGTTCAGGCTATAGAAAAAAATGCCAAATGCAGAGGAAAAGAGATGTAGAGATATAAACCTCTTAGAGTAAACACAGTAAATATATAGGACAGGACGGTGGTTTAAACATGCAGAACCATGATGTCAATGAAGTGTAGATGGAAAAATGGAATAGAAAAAATACAGCCATGTGCCCCTTGACAGTGGGCTATGTTCTGAGAAATGCATCATTCAATGATTTCGTCACTGCACGAACCTCATGCACTTACACAAGCCTCGTTGGCTCAGCCTCCTCCACACCAGGCTATAGAGCAGAGCCTATTGCCCCTAGGCTACAAGCTGTACAGCATGTTACTGTACAAAAAAAACAGCACAAGATTAAATCAAGCACAAGAGATAATGATGCAATCAAGAGACACAGTAAACAGGAGGAGATGTGTGAGGCTGCTGCTTGCATAACACAGCCTACTATTTTGCAGCAAGCTGCTTTTTTAATAAGTAGAAAGAGTGCACTCTAAAATAGTAACAAAAAATATACTATAGTGAACACACAAACCAGTACCATAGGCGTTTATTATTATTGCATAAGCATTAGGCACCATGCATGACTGTACATGCTATACTTTTATGTGATTGGCAGTGCAGTAGGTTTGTTTACACCAGCATCACCACAAACATGAGTAATGTGTTGCCCTAAGACATAGAAATGGCTGTAACTTTATTATAATCCATGGAAGGAATTTCCAACCTTTTTTATCTCATGGTGCACACAAACTTAAATAGTAAAATTCTGCACCATACCAAAAAATATATATTTTGTCCAACTGACAAAAAAAAAGTATAATTTTGATTCATTCACACTAGACAACTATTGTCGTGTTGGCTGTTGTCATTTTTTATTTTACATTCTAAAGAAAAAGAGGTCACTGCCCTTGCCCAGCCCATATGGGTCAGTGGTTGAGAGTCAACCTATGAACCAGGAGGTCACGGTTGGATTCCTGGTCAGTGCACATGCTTGGGTCATGGGTTCAGGAGGCAGCCAATCGATGATTTTCCCTCATCATCAATGTTTCTATCTCTTCTCTCTCTCCCTTCCTCTCTCTGAAATCAATAAAAACACATTTAATAAAAAAAAATAGGTCAGTGCCCTTGTGTTGCATATTTTAAAAATTCTTGTGGCACACTGGTTGAAAACCACTGATCTATGGGATTATGAAATGTGGGCCACTGTTGACTGAAAAATCATTTTGTGGCACATGACCGTATTTATATCTGACATCAATAACTAATTATAATAATTATACTAATATGTAATTCTTGAATGCCTTCTCTGTGCTTAGACATTTTACAAATATTATGTCATAAGTCCCTAGTATTGCCATATATTATTATAATTTCACAAATGATTAACTGACACCCAGAGAGTGTAATTAACTTAAGGTTAGACAGCTAAGAAATGGTTGAACAGAAAATATGACTAGAGGCTACATTCTTAATGGCTATGCTATATA